CTCGACGTTACGAATGCTTTACAGCAATCATGGTCACCGGAGAGACTAACCACCAAGTTCTGCCAACGAATAATTTTTGCAAACAAAGACATGAATAAATATAATATACAATATATAATACAATCGTAATACAAAATACATATTATAACTACATTTATTATTACAGATATCTGTGAATAATGTTCAAATGCCTTAAAATGATAGCTACTTTGCTTCATCAAGCAACGTGGCCGCACGAGGCGCACCGCGGAGGTCACTATTAGTTGTCACATGGTCGAACAAGTACATGTATTGATATTATAATTATCATAATTATTATATTCTTAATAATGGCTTCGTATTATGTTATTAAGTGTTAATCCCTCCACGGCCGCGGGCACGCCGGCGTTACAGTTAACAATAGATTTCTTAGAAATTTAATTAATTTCTAATAAATTTACCTGTAGGTGTTAAACATTCTGCCAGAGCTACGCATTGTCAACAAGATACAAATGAGATATTGCGGTGAATTTTGAAATTAAAAAAAAGAGCAACGATCATTAAATGGATGTAGGAATAAACAAGCATGTGTGATTCTTTAAATTGACATAACTTTTTATTTATAAACCGATTGATGTAAAACAAATACTAAATGTTAAGTGGAGGTTGACACAATACATTAGTGAAAACCGCACCCAAATCAACGCAAACGCACTGACAAATAGACAAAAAAATCATTGTTTTGAGTTCTATTGCGTTAAATAAATACTCCTAGTAATAGTTTTTCTCAAATATCTTCCATGTACAGACAGCGATCAGTTATAATTTTATTATACGTATAGATAACGACTTCAGAGAAATATGTTACGCTATAATTGATATACATAGCTATAGATAAAACAATTAATCTATATAAATAAAAAATAATTACAGAAATGTATGTACGCGCATAAATTTGGATCGCCTGTACCAAATTGGATAATTCTTTTTTTTGTGTTTGTTATTGTCAGGAAAAGTTTTGTATAGAAGAAAATTAAAAGAATTTTTGTTTTACTAAAACAAGTTTTTTTTAAATCTCATGATCCGTTTTATATGAAATACGGTAAGAAAATAGTTTGAGACCCTGGGAAGGACATAGGATACTTTTCATCCCGGAAATCATCTCTTAAGGTGGTGAAAATGGGGATGAAAGTTTGTGTTGGGAAGCAAGCTAGGGACGAACCTTTTTTTTTTTTAACGTTGGGAAATGCATTTACGCACGAGGTGTGGGACTCACCGGCAAAGCCAGTACTAACCACTAAAACCCAACAAAGCCTTCCCCCGTCTTAATGGGGCGTCGCAGGATCGCTTATGCATTCAACTACGACGCCCCGACGGCAGGTCTGCCGAAGCAGACCACAACAACCATGGGGTTGCTCCAAGGTCCACTCTGCTATCAGAGAAGTACCAGAAGCAACCCGCATGGTACACCGCCCTCCGAAGAGGGCCACCTCCCACCGCCCACCGAAGTGGGCCACCTCCCTGTGCGTTTCTTGGCTTCGCGCCCGGTTGGGTTGCCGGGCACTACTAAGCCCCCCCACCACGACAAGGTGATCGCGCGTTGGGGGGAAGCTAGGGACGAACCTGAGCGAAGCGAGGGTGAGCTGTTAGTTATATACTTAAAAATATATCATCGCCTCTACAACAAGAAAAATACTATTATTTAATCTTAATGTCAACTATTGATTATGTAATCTCTTTTTAACGTAAATGTTAAAGGCTAAGGTTGATAAACTTCACGTGAAAATGGGGCATTTCACGGACAACGGAATCGGACAACGAGAAAAAAGTGAGTTTCTAAAATTCGTTCATATTAGGCATACGTAGGCATACATTTGAATTTGAACCTCTAGGGGATATAAACATGTACACATACAAAAAAAATTTTGAGGCTTAGTTGTCAAGTTATGGGATTCTAAAGAATTGAAGGAAGGGTTTTTTGGATTCTTTTTTCATATTGAAGTAATCTATACTAATATTACCTTTTTTACCTCGTTGTAAATAAAGTTCGTGAATTGTGAGTATGTGACGTTGTAGGGGGTAATCGCTGAATCTACAAAACCGATTTAGATGAAATTTGGTAATAAGATAGTTTGAGACCCTGGGAAGGACACAGGATAATTTTTAACCAGGAAATCATCCCTTAAGTCGGTGAAAATGGGGATGAAAGTTTGTTAATAATGTTGTTTTAGTTAATTAAATCTGAAACAACATGTCAAACAACGACATCAGACACTGACCATAATATAATATACCTATGGGATTCCTAAAAACAAATCAAATACGCTCAACCTCAAGAGTTTTATTAATATCCATGGGCGTGGTCTCAGCCGAAAGACGTTCACTGCTGGACATAGGCTTCCTCCAAAGGTTTCCACGAATGCCGGTCTTGTGCCATCCGCATCCAGTGGGTTCTTTCGACTTTGACCATATTAGTCTACCCACGCTGCGTCTTCTGGTACGTGGCCGCCACTCTAGAACTCTTTATCCCTACCGAATATTCATTCTTTGAGCGAACTAAGCAACTACTAGCTACTACTAGGTATTAAATTATTGTATTTTTATCCCTCCCTCATCTTCATTCCCCCAACAGCTAACCTATAGAGCAATTACCGAAAATTAGCGCTTGACCTAAGACAGGTTTTAAAACAAGCTGTGTGGTCACATATTTGTGTATATATATTTGTATTCAGCCCTTTTTAACGTCCCACTGCTAGACACGGGCCTCCCTTCAGCACGAGGGGAATCAGGCCATAGTCCACCACACTGACCAAGTGCGGGTTGGCGGATTTCAAATGTCTTTTTGAAAACTTGCTAGGTTCTCTCAGACATGCAGGTTTCCACACGATGTTTTCCTTCACCGTTAAGACAAGACGTGGTAATCATGTTGGGCATGATTCATTATTTACATATACATTCGGGATTTGAGCCCGCTTCACTCGGTGTCCCAAGCGAGCGCGTTATCACTGGGCTACCACTGCCTACATATGTATACATATTTATCATTTTATTATTATTATTATTCTTTTATTAAATATTTGTTATTGTATGTCCAAATATAGTTTTCATTTATTCATATATTTATTGATTATTATTAAGATTGCACACACGTACTAAATTTCAAATTGATACAAGTTTTTATTAAGTTTTTGTTAATAATAGTCCCGCTGAGTTTCTTTCACCAGTTCTTCTCAGGTCTGAGGCTTCTTCTTTCCGAACTGGTAGTAGACTCATGACGTTCAGTAAAAATTGTAATAATTTAATGCTGAATAAAATATTTCAAATTGGAATTTGAATTTAGCCTTTATAATATCACAAGTAAAATATAATTAAAATAATTAGTTAATCTTACTCTACATACATCCAAGATCATAGAAAAACATTTCACAGAGCATTTTCCCACAGAAGCTCGTAGAGCGTGACGATACGTCTTTGTTTTAACTGTTACTTAATTCTAGATTTGATCTTTGCTTCGTAAAAACTTTGCATTTTCTCCTTGCTTCATTACTCTGTCTGGGTGTTGAAAATATTGCGCAGCGAAAATTGCAGGGCGGGACGTATTGAAAGAAGAGTTTAGCTTTTAGAACAATCAGTTTTTATCAGATAGATTAGATTTGTCCTTCATAATGTAGACCATCCTGACATTACCTGCTTCGTAATGGTCGTGGGTTCGAAGTTTGTTGAGAGAAGATGTCCGAAAAGTCAATAAGGCTACCAATGTCATAGAAATCTAGTTCACATAGGATTAGGAATACTTTCTGAGAGGACACATTTACACAGCATTAGCTTTTCCTTACCATTTTTTTCAATATAATTTATTTATGCTAATTAAGAACGATGACTGCTTAGCTAACAATAGGTAGATTAATATTGCTATTTCTGTGGGAATGTGAATTGAATTCAAAGATCAATAAAGATTTTCCGTTTTTATTACCTACTAACGGCTCACCCTTGCTTTGTTCGGATGCTTCCCTAGGTACGTTTCAAAAAGATATAAATAGTTATTAGCCAGCGTTAATCATTTTTTCATGAGTTTTTCTGATTTTTTAATAGTTATTCTGCTATTCGGGGTAGAGACAAATCCAACACACCAAAGATCATAAAAACCGGTCCAGCAGTTCTTGAGTTATAAATGGTGTAACTAACCCAACTTCGTTTTATATTGGTACTTATATAGATTTTAGAGTTGAAGATCTATTTGGAGATTTTTATTCCATGATTCAAGGAATCGATAGCACGGTATAGGAAGCGTACGAACAAGCCATCTGCCTAATGGATTGCGTTTGTGTTTTCCGCTCTCCTTTTAGTTTTCTAAGTCGAAATTCTAGACATTGACCGAGACATGTGACGATGATGACTTGAAAAGACAAAGACGATGAGACAATGATGACGGAATTGTTTTTGTCCACTTATAGACGTAGTATCTAAAATTACAACTGGATACCGCATTATACATACATACATACTGTATAAAGCATTTTTTGCAATAAAAGAAAATTTGGTAACCTTAAATAATTTATTATAATAAAAGTAGAGCATTTAATACATTTTTCTCCATAATTCATTTACAATTATATGAAATAATACTGTTTGAGATATACTTATGAATTTAAACTTTTCATAAGTATCTCTTATTTTGATATTTCACATATTTATCATCCAACACCTGTTGCAGAATTCCATTAGTGTAGAGATAACGTAGTTCATTAATAAATTATGTTAATACAATTTGAACTTCTTTCAAATGTTTCAGGAGTGGAATGCACCTATATAAGTAGCAAGTATGCTTCCGAACAGAACAATATCAACAAGAACAAATCTTGCATAGAAGTTACAATTTAATACTCAATATTTTGGTAGATATCGTGTGTACGTGCTATTGAAGTTGGCACCAACTTCGTGCTTGTGCGTATTGTGATAGTATTTCATATTTGTACTTATTTGTAGAAATCAACGACAATATAGACGACATACGGCGACTAGCCAACATCTACATTATCTGAAGGTAAGAAATAAGCGGCAAATGCTCCACCTGTAAATAAATAAATCAAAATTTATTATTTAACTCGGTTTCGGTAAAAGACTAAAATTTTTCAAGTGAAAATTTTGTAATAATAGTTGTAGAAAAAAAAGATTTGGGGAGCCCTTAATGGATAAAATCTTCAGGTATAACTTACTTATGACTAATGCAGCGGTCCCGTACAGCGTGGGCGCGCAGGCGCCGGTGATGGTAGCGCTCACCACGTTGGTGCCGGCGAAGGCGGACAGGCGCGCCACCATCATGCCTAGACAAGCCACCATTCCTCTGGAAATCGAAAATATAAGTATTTATATTTTTTGTCCATTTATCAAATAAATTATTTATTAAGTATGTACTTTATATTACGGAAGTTTCATGGTAAGTTTTGAATTTTCTTAACGCTACACTTGTTCACTACACTTGTTCGCTACACTAACTACGTAACTATACTAAGAGTGATCGTGTCATTAAATTATTTTTTTGAATTAAGCGCTGTATTTATATTATAATTCTATAATTATAATTATAATTCTTAATACCCTATTACTGGACCAAGGATTCTCTTCAATGGGAGGCTAGTCTACATCATGAGGATATCTGCACGTGGAAAAAGTGCTTATCACTTGAAAATCATTACATATTATATGAGTATTTACTAACTGATACAATATATTATTACCTATAAGATGTAGGATATAACGTGACAAAGTACGATGACACGACACCGAACACCATTGCAGTTGTCAGAAATATATAGAAAAGTATCAGTCCCGAGATCGCTTCCCCCGTCATGTTGATCAGTGCTGCAGCCACAGCAGCTATTATGAGGATCACTATTGTTAGAATCTGAAAAAGAAACAAATGTATACAAGTGTTGAATTATAATCATTCCATCAGAGTTTGAGAGTGAAATGAATAGAGTGTGTTCTTTTGAGTAAAAGAAGTCTATGCCAACGTCCAACAAACAATCTTTTTTCAGGGAATATATCAAGTCGACGAAATAACTGAAAAGCGTTCCAATTTTTAATATTTACTAGCAGTACGTATACGAGATACGATTTAGATACGTTTTAACGGTTAGTGTGTTTTTTTATAGATGATATATTTTTCCGCAGTAAACAGTATCCTATATGTTGACCTGGATAACCAGATACCCTCATACCAAATTTCATCAAAATCTGTCCAGTGGTTTTCTCGTGATGCGTTCCCAGATAGACTGACAGACAAAAATTCTAAAACTATAGATTCGGAAAAATATTTCAAAAATTCAAAAAATTTCATAAAATGGGTTTTGAAATCATTTTTGTAAAATAGTGGGCAGGCACTGTTTGTAATCAGTGTATATCGCCTTTGAGACATCTATAACCTTAGTCTCTCCCGTGACCATGATTGCTGTAAAGCATTCGAAATTTCGGGAACCAGAAATCAAAATAAATTCGCGAACTAATCCGAAAAGATAGTTTTGTTTAAAATAATGACTATTTCAATAAGATTTTCCAAAAAATATTTAACTTATAGATTCGACTAATTAGAATTTTATTAAATGTATAGATTAGTAAGGAAATCAAAGTGTCAAGGTGTATTACCTTACGTTTACCAGCACATTGAGATATAATCGCGTTTAGTATGAAAAACGACAGTCCATGCGCACACCCCGCCCAGATTGTGTTCTCTGATATCGCATCCTTGCACTCTGGCACCACCTGGAACGTGAAGACACATTCATGTAAAAAAAATTTAAAACAATTCGTATACTAAATATAGATTTTGTATATAATTTTAGGGTTCCGTAGACTTTTTTCTTTTTTCTCTATTGTAAAAACAAGTACCTAATATATACAAGTATAAAACTACTAACTATTATGTTTTGTCATACATATCTTGTAAAATCAAATTATATCATGTAACTAAAAAATATTTTTTTTATTAGGGTTCCGTAGCCACATCTAGGTTGATTCCCCATACAATTTTTTTTCCCAATTTTCACCCCCTTCAGGGATAATTTCCGGGATAAAAACTATCGTATGTCCTTTCTAGAGTCTAAAACTATCTTCTTACCAAATTTCATCTAAATCGGTCTAGTAGTTCCAGACATTCTGAAAACAAACTCAAAAACTACAACACACTATGAAACACACACTCGTAAATTAAATGCTACGAAACCCTCGGTTAGCGAGCCAAAATCCCACTTGTCTAATTGTTTTACATTAAAACAAGGCCAGTTCCTGACTAATTATTCATGTAAGTCATATTTCATTAATAAAATTAGCATATTCATATGGTGAATATAGCAATGAATATTTACGACACAATAATTCTGATACTTCAAAATGAGTACCTACGAATGTAAGTACCTATAAAATAAAATTCTTTAATGCCTATTAAATTGATAGCTTTCCGGCATATTGAGCCTTCTGTTATAGCAATTGTATGCAAAAGTAATTACCTACTAGTCGTAAAAATGCGAGTGATGTACATATATGGATGTAATAACTATTATTTTTTTTATTTTTGCGGTTGAAAACATTGGTCCATGGAGACTGGAGTCAAAGTACTAAACACATCTTAAAACAACCTCTTCTTATCGCTTCTACTGATGACAGGAGAGCTGGGTCGCTCTTCACCCAAAGACTCGGCATTGCCATTCAGCAGGAAAATGCGGCTAGCATTCTTGCCACTATTCCACGCCGGCATGACTTGTACAGTAATAATTACATGTACCTTTATTTTGTATATATAATCTATATCAAAAAAAATGTATCACTGAAATGTATGTACGCCGATCGACTGCACCAAATTGGGTAATTCTTTTTTTCTTAATTTTTTTTTTTAAAATAAGTTTTTTTTTAAATCTCTTGATAAGAAAAGTGAGTAAGTGAAATAGTTTTTATCCCGGAAATCATTCCTTAAGGGGATGAGATTGGGGATGAAAGTTTGTATTGGGAAGCAAGCTAGGGACGAACCCGAGCGAAGCGAGGGTGAGTCGTTAGTTTAGAATATTTATAATTTCAATGTATGTCTTTTTTGTAAATCAATATTTTTTTTCAGAAAAACATTTGAAAAATGTTTATTATAATTAAATTATTATGTTATATAAGACACTTACAGATTCAATTAAGGTCGTATTTAATGTAGGTGAGTTCGATTCGTCGCGGGCGACGTGGAAGAGATCGCAGAAACTGCCACTATCAGAGCCGAGGCTCGCGTATGAAGTGAAGAATACGTTGAATATTGTGGGCAGGATTATGGCGAAGCTGTTGTTTCTGAAGTATATAAAATATATTTTAATTTATGTTTATAATGATATATACATATAACATATACATGTAGGAAAGAAAAATTAAAGAACATATTAATTTTTCTTGTGAAAACATTCAAAGCCATTTTTAACCCCCGACGCAAAAACGACAGGGTGTTATAAGTTTGACGTATGCGTGTGACGTGTGTGTGTGTGTCTGTCTGTGGCATCGTAGCTACATAACGAATGAACTGATTTAGATTTTGTTTTTTTTTTTGTTTGAAAGGTGAATTAGTCGGGAGTGTTCTTAGCTATATTTGATGAAAATCGGTCCGAGATGGTCGGGGATTTTTTTAATTTTTAATTTATTACTTGTCTGGAGATTAAATCCATACATTGATAACTTAGTATGTAAAAATGAATTATGAATGTTGACATGGTCATTCACTTGGTTATGGTTATGGTTATACATTCAAGTTTATTATATTTAAAGTTTGACATTGGCGAAGTAATCTGCGCTCAACAGGCACGCATTGAAACAAAATTGATGATTCAAAGTTTGATCGAAGGCTATAGAATCCATACTAATATTATAAATGTGAAAGTGTGTTTGTTTGTTTGTCTTTCTTTCACATCGAAACGGAGACGGATTGACGGATTGGCGTGATTTTTTGTGTGGTGATAGTTGAAGAGTTGGAGAGTGACATAGGCTACTTTTTACCACGGGAGAACATCTAATTCCCACGGAATAACACTTTATAATACAACTCAAAAAAATATTTATGATCAGAATTACTTGAAACTTGGTATTAATGCTCTACAATGCAATTAAATAAATATGTGTTTCAGCATTTTTCGAAATTCATCCCATAAGGGGGTAAAATAGAGGATGAAACTTTGTATAAAACCTACCTTTTTAGACTTTTTTGTAGTTTTAGCGCGGGTGAAGCCGCGGGTTCTGCTAGTATTATATAAAATGACATGACAGTTCTTAAAATAATTTTAATATATTTATAAAGAAATTCGTAGGTATGGATTTTGTATATGAGATTATTATAGGTATTATATGGGACCACCCTGACAGTGCAAAGTATTCATTACAAAAAAATATTAAAATTGATTTATAATAATTATTATCAATAATGTTGCATAATTTACAAAAATTAAAAATCATACCTGAATTAGGTAAATAATTCTTGTATCCCTAACTGATTTCGGCCACGGCGGCCTATTTCTAGATTGAGACTATAATTCACCTGCAGAAGATATTATAGTGCTGGGCGTCTACGCACAGACACAATGTGTACTTTCTATTCCTGTCACTCTCATACCTCAGTAGGACAACTACTCGACACGACCAATGACTCCTCCGCATGGGGACGAAGCACCTCCAACTTCCCAACTCCGAGATGTTACTGAGACTTTTTCAACAGAAAGACTCAACAGCTGAACTTGGCCCGCACCGGGACCCTAACCTAACTAATCTCCGGATCTGCAGCCGTACATGCTAGCTACTAGACCACCGAGGTAGGTCAAATATAATATAGAAAGTAAAACAAAAAACACTTACGCTATATAAACAACAAACGTCAAGTAATACAGCAATAGCGTTCGTCCCAATAATGGAGGTTTGAACAACGGTGCAATTTGGAGCCAAAGCGACCGCAGCGTTAACTGGCCAACCCCTTCTTTGCTGCCTTCTTCTAAGTATATTTGCTCGACCTAAAATGATAAAATCAATGGTTTTAGGAAAACTTACGTTACCTGCGTGCCATCAGACTACTATTATAAACTAGCGACTTACCCTTGCTTAGCTCGGGTGTGTCCTAATGTAAATAAATTCATAGGTTGTACTTTTTTGCGCGGAACCCTGATTCTTTTTCTAAAATAAAAGTAAGCCTAAGTTACTTCTTATAACATCAGATATCTGCCAGTGAAGGTCCCGTCAAAATCCGTCAAGCCGTTTTGGAGATTAACCGGAACAAACAAAAAGATAGACAGACAGACAGACAAAAAAATTATGTGTGTGAATGTGTTTTGCTCTTTCATACTGAAACAGCTGGTCTGATTTTGATAAAATTTAGTACATAAATAGAGTCTCAAAAGAATAGAAGTTAACTTGGGATTTGAGGAAGGCGCGGATTTCATTTCAATTTTTTTCAAATGTTGTATTATTTTTTTATTAAAAACTTTAAAAATGTTTTGTTATCAATTTAAGTTTAAAAAATTATTCTAACAAACATTATACCTACTTACGGGGTATTTATCTGATTTTCCCTTATTGATTTCATGCATTCGTCTTAAAACGTCGACAGCTTCATCCATCCTGCCAACATTAGCCAAAAACTTGGGGCTCTCACTGAAGAACCAAAGCAATATCGCTCCGATACCCAACGGCAGGGCCATGATGAGGGTCAGTAGACGCCACGGCCGGTACAGTATACCCATGATGTAAATAGAGAAATCCAGCTTGGTGATAAAGTAAGCCCAGACTGGAAGAGTGAACTAGAAATTAATATTATATAAATACTGTCTATGGTCTATATACTAAACATATAGGTCTATATGTACATGTTAACACGGCGTCCTCTTTATAGGGGATTGTATAGACTGAACTAGTTCTACATAATATATAATACAGGTGTTCGATATTAAAGTGTATATGAAATTATAAAAGTTCTAGATTCTGATATTTGTTTCTATCTGTTACTCGATAATTTGATTTTTGTGAATACTTGAGACTGATCACGCTTAAAACCAAAGACTTCGTGCGCTCTGCGAAACAAAACCACACTTTTTTGGGAGAACATTACAATATTATTGTCCCAGTGCCCAGGACTCGAACGACCATCATCATTTATTCAAATTCAATTTATTTATTTAGCATTAAATTATTACAATTTTTCACTGAACTTCATGAGTCTACTACCAGTTTGGAAAGAAGAAGCCACAAACCTAAGAAGAACTGGTGAAAGAAACTCAGCGGGACTTTCGTTATCTTTTTTATAAAGTTAAGTTATCAATTACAATATTTTTATAAAGTTGAAGTAGCCTGGAGGCGATCACTTCATTAACAAGGCGTGCATCTATCTATACATATAATAAAATTCTGAGTCGAATCTATACATTAAATATTTTTTGGAAAGTCTTATTGTAATAGACATTATTATCAATACAGAGGCCGAATCTATAGTTTTTAGAATTTTTATCTGTCTGTCTGTTGTCGCATCACAGAAAAACGACTGGAGGGATTTTGATGATATTTGGTATGGTGATAGCTGGTTATCCGGGTCAACGTATAGGATGTGGATGATGAATATTAGTAAAAATTCAAATAATGTCACAAACAGAAAGCACTAACTGTAATATAAAGTGGGTGTCAACATCAAAGCACTTGTCATGAGCAGCATGTACCTCGCTCGACACCTGGAGTTGCAACATTCTCCTAGCAAAGCATACGTGGCAGACTCCGCTGCACTGGATCTGTTAATAATTTAGAAATATTGTTAGAAAATACATATATATCGTAACGTATTTTTTAATTTGTCGATTTGCTTGTTAATTTTTGGCCAAAGTGTACGAACGATTTGAAAATTTAGCGTGTATACGAAAACAGACATGAAGAATTGCAGGCTTTTCGAAGACGATGTCTCCGATAGAGCGAAGTGGAGAAAAAAAATAAGAAAGGCTGACCCCACCACCATGTGGGATACATAGCCAGCAAGAGAGAGAGCGTGTATTCGAAAATGGAATTACGGATGGATATATGGATAGTTTCTGTAAGAAATTTAGGAAACTTTTAGTAGTTCCACCGTTTATCTTGTTCTGTAATATTAAAAAAACATATATTATAACGATATACTATATTTTCTTCTACATATATAGTTTCAATCAGCCGAATAGATTCAAGGAAATCATGTTCAGTGGTTATAAAGTTATAAATGATACAATAAGGTTAAATGAATTCACTGAAGTCATTTTAAAGAAGTTTTTGCAGTAATTGCGATTATTCTCACGTGATAAGGCAAATAAACGAGAAATTATCCAATCGTGACGGATATTTTTGTTGTAAGTCAAACATAGCATGCTAATTAAGATACTCTAATTATAAGTTAATTCTATTTATTAACCGACTTCGAAAACGGAAGGAGGTTTATATTTTTGGGGTGTATTTTTTCTGTATATTATGGTGTATGTGCTCTTATAAGTATGAACCGATTTTCATATTTCTTTTTAATGAATAAGTGTACAAACCTATTCGACTATCTCAAGGGTAGTTCCTACCTAGTTAGCAGTTTATTTGATAATAATATTTCAATACTAAGCAGAAAATAGTTACTGTAAAAGTGTCTTTGTAGGTATACCTACTTATTTATTTATACAGTAAGTATACACATAAAATTAATTAATCATAACGAAGTTAAAGATGCGAATAAAGCTTAAAAAGTAAACGGATTACTTTTTTATGTATTTTATCAAGGCTTTTTATCACATATTATGTACCATGTGGTAATTAGCCAGACCAGCCTACCTACCACACCATAAACTTACAAAACAGAAAAAAAAACAATTCTAATCTAGCGTGGTCTAGAAAATCACAAGGAAGCACTAACAAACTCATATGTACATATATACATATACCTTATATATTTTAGATTTTCCACACGCTTTGAAGTTGGTAACATACAGCAAGCGTGTGGCTTCTTCATTAACTATACAATTGTTTTGTACATATATTTAAGTATATTTGCAATGCCACTTCTTGTAAATGGTATACAAGGAAAATAAAATAATGGTAAGCTTACAAAGCAGAGCTAATGAATCTCAAAGCCGCCAGCACCTGCCAGCTCGGGGCCAGGCTGCTGAGGACCGCGCTGATGAAGCTCCCCGTCATCGCCCACATCAATACGAGTCGTCTTCCACGAGTGTCTGACAGGTAGCCCCACGGGTATGACATCACTATTATACCTGCACATTAATTATCATTCAACTAGTGTCTTATAAAATGATAGTGAAAATTGTATCAAAATTTATTGCATACTTTAAACGAAACAAACAGACGGACAAAAATAGGGACTTTATTTAACTATTTAGTTATTTTTATATAACTAGTATTAGTAGTAGTAGTTATTAGTAGACTGTAAAGACGTTAGCGAACGTATTTGGACCTCAAACAATACTCTCCAAAATTTACCCTTTACTTATTGCAAGTGCTTCGCTTATTTGTGTATTTTCAAAAACACTTTTATTTTAATTGACTGGAAATATCTAAAAAAATTTTTTTTATATACGATAACAAAATTACCAAATAAATATTTAATTTAAATATGAAATTTTGGGAATTAGCTAGAAAGTGTGCTTGTTAATTTTTTTTAGTATTTGAGTAAAGTTTAAAATCTAGATAGCTTAAATTTAGACATGGACCTCTTTGAATTGACGTTTTTACTAAGCCACCTAGGCCGCCTGCTAAAAATAGTCCTAAATATTAAACACAAGTATTTAAAGTTGCTAACGGAAGGTAAATTATATCACAACATACTTCATGGAATTAGTACCATATCCTTGATTTTACAATTAAACGAAATTAAAATTTCCGTATTTTATCTACGAGTATATCTTGGTTCTAGTTTACCATGAAAAGTAACATTAATTCCAATACTTTAAACTTACCAGCAAACGGCATAGAGGATAACACGCCAATTTGCTGAAGATTCATCCCAAGGTCGCAGGTGGCAGCAGTCACTATGATGCCCAGACCGAAAATGTCGATGCCCATCGCTATGATGACCATGAAGCATGCGAACAGCAGACCAATATTGTACTTCCCATGACCTAAAAGGAAAATTATTTTGTTACATTATAATTGACGGTTATCTGATGTACCAAGGTGAGAGAAAAAGTGAGTCGCTCAAAAAGGATAAACAAAACTGATGTAATAAAACAGTAAGTATCTAACATGCCGGATATAGTTCCGATTCCTGCCAAGTGATGGCGCTACTGGTACGTTGCCTCATTCCTGAATCACAATGGCAAGATTTTTTTCTTTACAATACATATTATGTTTGATGTTTATTTTACAAAATTGTCCTTAACACAGTGTTCAATATTCAAGTAGTATTTCATTTAAGGTGATCAAGAAGAATCAAGAAGAAGTGTCAGATAGCCAAACATATTATTTCAATTTAACTAACATTTGGATTTTGGAAGATAGTTTACAGAGTACGAAAATACTCTTTTGCTTTTGTTTTCCTTAATACATATTACCAACATTAAAAGGTATTAAATGTACAGAGTCTTTAAACTTTCATGGTCATTGATAATATCATTGTGATGAAAAACGGGATATTTACCATGTTTAGCACTTACTTTTGAGAATTCCCGGTATTTCGGCACTGTTTCAAGCGCCATGGTCACGTATACTACATATTACCTACATACTATACTATAATATTACAAATACTCGGGTATACTGACGACTTTGCGGGGGATGTTAACATTTTTATCGTTTTTGGCAGACATATCGGTCTACCCTATTTTTTGTTCCTTTTAATTGTTCGTCACCACTGCCACTGTTACGTAGGTCGCTTAACTCGATTCGAGTCTCGACACACAGAACCCACTCTACGTGCATAAGGAATAAGAAAGAGGTCACTTCAATGACAATGATTGCTGTAAAGCATTCGAAACGTCGGGAACCAAAAATAAAAATAAATCCGCAACAAAATCCGAAGAGATAGTTTTATTTAAAATCTCAAATATTTGCGTAAATCTAAGAAAGTATTATCTCAATAAGTTTTTCCAGTAAGTATTTAATTAACAGATTCGACTCAGTCAGAATTTTATTAAACGTAGGTATAGAAGACTAATGAAACGTGAATTATGCTAATTTGACATGTTTGTTGCTTTACGATGAATAGGGTTAAAACTTTTGTTATCCATTTAGCATATTAAAAAAAATATCTAAGTGTGAAAATAGTGGCATTCATCGACGCTCTTTGTCTTAACTAAAAAAAATGTACGTAGAGCCAACATAAAAACCGTGTTTTTTTTTGTTATGTTAATATCATATTCATCATTCAATATTCATTCGTCATCAAATGTTATGCTTAATATTAAAGTATCCATTAAAGGCTGTTATGTACCTCCTCATGACTTATATATTCTAGTTTGCATAGTGGTCGAAATTTGACAATATTTTTATTATTTTTTAGTGATAACACTAAATATTACACTACAAAATACATTAATATAAACACACTAGCATTGCCCGCGGCTCCGCCCGCGTTCAGGTGACTAAAAACCAAATTATTAGGTTTTACATATTAGTGTACTCTTACATTGCAGTTTTTATATTTTTTTCTCAGAAATGAGACATGTTCCCGCGGTAAAAAGTATCCTATATGTTGACCCGGATAACCAACTATCACCATACCAAATTTCATCAAAATCCCTCCAGTGTTTCCTAGGCTTTTCTGTGATGCGGTAACAGACGGACGGATGGACGGACGGACGGACAGACAGACAAAAATTCTAAAAACTATAGATTCGGCCTCTGTATCGATAATAATGTTTATTTCAAAAAGATTTTCCAAAATATATTTAATGTACAGATTCAGCTTGGTTACAATTTTATTATATGTTTAGAAGAATACATTAATAATCAAAGCTCTTATCTTTCTTTTTCTTTCTTTAAGCTTCTTTTAACTTTGGTACATTATTTTAATTCATTCATTTAAGAATTTTTCACCACCACCACCACCAGCTAACATGTCCGAAGACTTTCCTCAATGCTATCGGTGGGAACGTAGTAGGTATGAATTAAATAGTGATGTTACTGTTTTTCAAGAATTATACAAATCGCTAATTAATAAATGTATAAAAATAGTTTTCGGGAGTTATTACCACTTTGCCTAATAATTTGATAATTTACAGATTCAAAATTATAACAAGAAGATTTAGGTGCCTGTATCTATATCATGATTTTTTTGTAAACTTATAGATATACTTAATAATAATCGATCGTTTATATTATTCCTCTTAATTATTAAAAAAAATTATAATTAAATATTTACCCAAAAAAAATTGAATACCTTTATTTCACCGTATAAAATGTAATACAAGGTAATCTCACGAAAGCGTTATTGACTGTTTTAAAGAATATTTGATATCTTATCTTAATATCTCTCGAGTAAGTATAACTTTAAAGACTTAGTAGTAGCATAAAGAAGTTTGTATATGTTACAGATCAAACTAAATTTCAGGCCAACTGGTTTGTCCTAGACAAATCCAGTTCTTCCAAAGTGTATCAAGGTAATACTAGCTCAGCCCGGACGAAACACTAAATACTTTAGACTTAACTACATAGTTTGGCCTAGGCCGAACTGATTTTGAGGTATTATTCGGCTGTTTAGTATATGGGATGCCGCCGCGGGAAGAGTGGGTGGTATTATTATATGTGACAGGCCCGACTTTTGTAGGTTGAGAAGGCTTAGCCTCCTCAGCCTTCTTAGGTTTTTTTTTTATTTCAAACCCAGGCCTCACAATATCATAAGTGCTATGCTATATCAATCAGTTTGGCCTAGGCCAAACTAATTTATTTTGTATCCTAATAGTTATTTAGAGCAAAGGAAATAAAATATTCACAAAAATTCTATCCTGTTTCTGTCCTTGATTTTTTGTCATTTTGTCTATAAGACTCTTTTGTGCAGTGCAGTTCCTTTCTCTAGCCGTATTCTACTACAGATCATATAACACTATTCTAAACAGCTCATTATATTATAGACTATGGTAAAGTATTTCTTTTCGCAATTTTTTTATAATATTTTAAGCTATTGCATAGCTTCTATCGCGGGCCTTGAGCGTGATGACCGAATCCAGAAATTCCGTAACGAAAAAAACCTGACACCCCCCACTCCGACCGGCACAGCAGTGATACTTTTTAGTTTTTCCATCTATCGATAAATACCAGAACTTTTAATGACTTTTTGAAATATCACGCTTGTCTCTTTAGTTCAGCAACCCGCCTTTAGGTGGCATTGGTTGTATTGGAAAACTACCGTAATCAGCAGTTTATGAGAAAGTATATAGGTGTATAGATATTTATCACCTATGTACAACAGTGAATATCTGTACTCGTATAATTTGTGTACAAAGTGTTTTAAATATGAATAAACAAAGTGCATTTATTAATGAAGAAAGTTAAGGAAAAAAAATACTGCATTAATAAAATAAATAAATAATTATAATTGCATAAGTTGATAAAAAATGCTATGCAATAGCTTTACCGCGGCAGTCTCCGAGTGCCACATTTAATTTTTTATTTACATATAAATGTACCTTGAAATTTTGACTTAAAATTTACAAAATGTTTCTTTAACATTAGTAAAAGATTAGGAGAAACACTTTTGCATACACCTTAATCGATTCGAATAGAATTTCTTATATAACGTGTTTTTTTTTATATAGGTACATATTTTACTGAGTTTTTCGTGAAGTAGTAGGTACGCATGTTTAATTAAAAAAAGTAATAATATAAGCAATCCTTAGTGAAATATAAATATCTGAGTAAGCTTTGAGAATACAACATTTTAAGCCATCTGAAAAAATTATTATTAGATAGCACATCCTACTAATATTATAAATGCAAAAGTTTGTGAGTGTGTATGAATGTCTGGGTGTATAGATGTATGGATGCTTGTTATTCTTTCACACTAAAACTACTGAATGAATTTTTATAAAACTTTACAATAATATAGCTCATACATCAGAATACACATAGGCTACTATTTATCCCGGAAAATGTACGGTTCCCGCAAACCAGAATTGCGCGTAAAAAACCAAAACACGTGCAAAACGTAATGTAATAGATATATATACCTGATAAATCCAGCGCCTCTTCATAACTATAACACTTCACACTAACGTCTGTCCGTCTCATCTCGATATCGTGTTTTATTTTATGTACCATTTTATCGCGACTTGACAACCAATGCAATATTGTAAAGAAAATATTTATCGCTTTTATTTTAACATCATTAAGTCGAATCGTTTTTGTAATTTATAAGAAATGTTTTTTTTTATTTCGCACTATATATTTAAGTGTTAAGACGCTCAGCCTTAGACAGAATCTAAGTGGAACTGACAAAATCATTGATGAGAAGGCCGCGTTATCTAGCAAAGACGAGTTTTTCTATCACTAGTTTTTCACGTTTTTCCATATAGCTAGCTTGTTTTTATTGTTCTGCATTTGTATTATCTTTGAAGGTGAATAACTCTTTTAGCTGTTGACTTTTATTATCATGGTAATGGACATTTAAACAGTACAGTGTCACTGTTCTACTGAGAATGTTAAGTACATTCACACAATGTTAGTTAGGAGATACATACAAAATATTGCTATATTATCCAGAAAAAAATTTTAGGGACCTACGAGTACTTTATAAAATCCTTTTAGGGTCTTGGGTTTAACTTAACCGTTTTTGTCTACCTTGTCCGATAGTATGTCTACATTAATAAATAATAATAAATAAATGTTGGGACATTAACACACAGCGTTATCTAGTTCCATGGTAAGCTACGAGGCTTGTGTTATGGATACCAGATAGTTGATACACTACATATATATAACTTTTAAATACATACATATTATAAATATAAACACCCATGACTGGAGTGAAAACATTAATGTTCATCACACAAATGAATGCCCCCAGCGGGACTCGAACCCGCGACCGCTGGCACATCAAGTAGGGTCACTACTAACTGAGCCAAACATGTCGTCTACCATTCAATGGCGGCATGTTTTGAACCGAAAGCGCAAATTAATTTTTTTACAGAAAAATTGGGCATATTTTTTTTGTATTATATAATAAATAATTTATACGTACAATAGGTATATGTAGAATGTAATTTCTTCGCTTACAAGTCTTTACAAAAGATCTATTTATTTCTTACAATACCTGTTAAATAATTTAAATATTGGCTAAATAAATGCCGAAATTTCATTAAATATTATTTTCATAGAGACGAAGATTTAGTTATAGCCTTTTCTCATAACCAAAGTGCCATATTGGAAAAGATTGACACACATTAATTTTTGGTCGACTTCAAAAGGAGGAGATAGGTATTTCGACTGTATATCCATATCTATTTATTTTGTATAAATGATACGTATGTACGTAATAATATTCGATAATACTTTCTTAAATATACGCTAATATTTGTCATTTTTTCGCGGTTTTCTTTGTTTTTTTTGTTTAGCAATGTTTTAATTACAGCAATGAGCAATTTTTGACGCCCATGACACATGATGGCGAAAAGATAGTTTTATCTAATAACAGATTTAAAAAATAAAAAAAATCACCTCTAAGGGTGCCAAAAACCTGTTTAATAAGAACCTCCTCCTTTTTGAAGAAGTCAGTTGAAAAGTAATATTTATATTTTATTGATAAATATACAAGGATTGGAAAGAATTACTGAGAATTATTTCTATTGAAGCTTAACTTTACTTAAGATATTAAATCACATCGACAAGAGTTAAAAAGCTTTTTAAAAAAATAATAAAAACCTACTTCCTGGTACTAAAAAATAAAAAATATCTAAACGGTGGTTTTCATTTAGATAGATACATTATCAGATATTTTTCGAAGTCGCTGCCAATCGATACAAATTAAAGCACACTGACATCGAAAATATCTGATTAGGTATCTATTGTAAATGAAAACCTCCGTTTAGTTATTTTTTACATTTTAGTTTTTGAGCCTGGATGATAGTTTTCTTTTAAAGTTTTTATTTTTTCATTTTTTGTGTAGACGTAATAAGCAGGTAATTTGTAAGAAGAAAGTTTTTTTTAATAACATATTATAGCGCGTAGTAATATACCCGCCGCACCTAACGTCCCTATTCGCCCTTGTCCCCCGCGACGCTCCCCGCGTTTCCGTGCGCCTGACGGCGCCCGCGCTTCCACCCCGGCAGTGAGCCAGTAACCGCGTTACGTTTTACACGCGCCCCGCCGACGTACGCCACTCACTCAACTCGTGACCATTGATTCCTTTAATAATTTGTTAATTATTATACTTAAACACTATTCATCCTGGAAGTCGAAATACATATGTGTGGATCCAGTACATGAGTTTTAATGATTGCGCCCTATAATATTTGATTAAGCCATTTTTTTTAAATAATTTATTGTTAACTTTTTAAAAACCGCTTGACCGATTTCGATAAAATTTAAATAGGACCACCTGGAAAGTATAGTCTTTGAAACAAAAAAAGAATTTCCAAATCGGTTTAGGCGTCTTCGAGTAATCGGTGAACATACATTAATAAAAGATTCAGAAGAATTGAGAACCTCCTCCTTTTTGAAGAAGTCGGTTGATAATGAAGCCTCTTATTATTAACCTTGAAGAACACTTGCAAATATCTACCTGCTTTTATAATAAATATCACCAGCCTTATTTACACAGCTTTTACTTCCAGTGACAGTTAACACTACTGGTATTTATACAACATGAAATATATGTAATAAGTAATAACTAGTAATAATAAATTTAGATATAGATTATAAAAGAAAGTTAGTAAAGTAACTACTAACCAAATATATATGTACAATGTAGATACGTTTGCGTTTTATTAAATAAAAGTGTAGATTTAAATATTCATGTATAATTTCATAATATTTAGATATTTTTACGAGAACGTATGAGTTTTTTTTAATTTGACTACTATTTTGACTATGCTTTAGAATTAGATGATATTAGTTAAGTGTACCTACCTATTTAAAAATGAGTATGCCTTCATATTATAAGCCAATGTTTCTCCGTCTGTTGATCTATTTGGCTGCTTACCTTATACCTCAGGAACTATGTACATTCGATCTCATATAGAAGATTATTTTTTTAGTAGATAACATATAACATATTAATGCTCATCGTTTTATGATTTTCACTGTGCTTCGTTTTGTGTTATTGCAACAAAAGCATGTTATATGTAATATTTTTATATCTTTACTAGCAACCCGCGGCTACGCCCGCGTTCAATCTACAAATAAAATCTCTTTGGCTTTATGTTATACAACGACTTACTCTCGCTTCGCCTGGGTTCGTTGCTATGTATTTATATAATATTGTTCATATAAAAATACTAAAATCGCGATTAAAAAATGGGGGTTGAGGGTAGGAAAATATACAAAAAAAAATCATTAAAATCGGTCGACCCGTTTCGGTGGAGTGCGACCACATACACGAGATATTTATAAATTAGGTAGCAAGTACGCGTATTTTGACTATGATCTCAGGATGAGGATGCAAATGGCTGTGCAGCTGTCAAAAGTGATGATTAAATGACCGAACCGCATCATTCCTTATGCGGATATCTGACAAACCTAATTTCAGAACGACACTACTGCCACAGTAATGTAGCATTACATTACCGTGCTACTGCTATCGTCATATAGGTACAGAACAATTGTAATGTTGTCTACATTTTTTACTTGTCGTAAGTGTCGAGAGAGACTGCTTGCATGTTTTAGTTAGACTGGGAAATGCACAGAAATCTTAATAAATTAAGATTTCTGTGGGGAAATGGAACCTTATGTTTTCAAAATATGTATTTATTATCGTAATTTGACGATACGTTTGTAGTGACTATTGGCTGTGTCAGCGGTCGCGGGTTCGAGTCCCGCTGGGGGCATTCATTTGTGTGATAGCCACGAATGTTTGTACTCCAGTAATGGGTGTTTATATTTATAAGATGTATGTATTTAAAGTTACATATGTGTAGTGTATCAACTATCTGGTATCCATAACACCAGCCTCGTAGCTTACAATGTAACTAGATAGTGATGTGTGTTAATATCTCAATATTTATTTATCTATTTAATAACATTTTTAATACTAATCTTGTAAAATTTTAAATATTAAATATAGTTATTATATAGCTATTTCAAGGCTTATAGGATCATTTACAATTTATTGTCGTCATAATACTGAGCAAAATTATTTATATTAGTCAATTACCTTATAAAAAATACAGCAAACGGACAAATGTTTGTAAAGCTTACTCTTTTCGTCTCGCGTGAATGGACTTAGTAATTTACTATTAATATTCTTAAGTGAAAATAAAGCAAGCTTGAATAACGCCTGTAAACGTTAAATAGCAAGGGTAAAGATGTTCGTTTTGCAACTGTAATATTTATATTTAACTAGCCACTTTTGCTTCGCTCGTATGACTATGCGTGTATAAACTTGAATGGTTTAGGAATGTATTAAAGACAAACGTCCAAAGAAAAATTCTTGCTTTTTTGCGCCAATAACCTTCATCGTAGGCGTATACTGAATAACCTACCAGAGTTTCATAAAATTGGATCTTAGGCTCAGGAACTTATAGAGGACAAACATACGAACAAGAATTTTAATTTATATAGGTTTAAATTATCATATTATCTGGGCAGTTTATATTCATGATCTGCTCCAACTTCCTTTGCTTATAATCAGTACATCGAAGAGCAGGGCGCTTGCATTAACGGGGCCTCTATTCTCCACATTAACAATTTTTGATATCGACACTCATTTTATTTAAGTTAGCAAAATTGTATTTAATGCTAGTTTCTTTTCTATGTCTACATTAATTGGACGTAGTTATGGAAAATAGATCCAATTACAAAAACTTATTTTTGAGAAAATAGGTGTTTCAGTGAAATCAAAATAACAAGATCGTAGTTTTTTTTTATAACCCATTATCTAGATTACCATGATACATGGTTTAATTTTAACTCTACGAAAATGCTTAATATTTTGTTAGTATCGTTAACGTCTGTATGTTTCAAAAGAAAAAAAAGTCACTTTGCGGCTTGGATATTCTTTGCATATACTAAAATTGATATGTAGGTGCCATTTATGACAGTAACTCAAAAAACGGTTTTCGTGGGCTGGATCCATTTTGCATTACTACATTCAATTGAAAGTCGGGTAAATAAATGAAGCAACATAAACGGTGCTTATAATAGCTAGTTTATTTATTACACTGATAACATAACAACGGTCACTGAGGCCGCTCTGGCCGCGTGCTCTTTGGGAGGATGATGCACAGTAGTCCGCTCGCTGGAACAAAAATGGTGTTTTAACTTATTATATATTATATTCTATAGGATTCGTTTAAGATTTTATGATTTTAAGATTTTTGGTAAACAAACTATTTACATACAAAAAATCACAAAACATGAATATACAAACTAACACACTTTTGCACTTATAGTATTGTAAGGTAATTATCAATTTGCTGGATCAAATTAAATTAAAATTTACTTTATTCAAATAGAATTATACAAGCACTTTTGAATGATCCATTACAGATACAGAAGGTCACAGGATTGATATCCGCTTGACACAAATATTTGCATCACTTGATAAGTCCTTAGACACTAGAAATATTGTAGAAACAAGGTGGGCCAAACTAAAAAAATATTTTTGATAATTTATTCGTTAAAATCATACCAAAAACTTTCACAAACATGCGCTTTATTTAACTGTTTGAGTCTAAACAAAAATCAATGGTAACGTATCAATAATAAAATATTTTCGAAAAATTTACCAGAGTACAATAAGCCCATACAAATGATAAACCATGTTTTAATTCCTTAAGACCTAAATATGATGAACATGATGTAATTTGCTAGTGTAAGTCATCGAGTCTTCAGTTCAAGATTTTGCTTAAGAACTTACTAATAAGCAGAGCACCGAACATGTATATGGGCACGACGCACTGCTGGTCGACGAGCGCGCCGAACACCACGTTGCCCACGATGGCGCCCACGCGCCCACACATCACCGTCACGGCCATCGCCGTGGCGCTGTGGGCAAGCATCAGTTTGACTTTAACTCTATACTAATATGTTTAAGTAATAAATTAAGAAAGTTATCTTCGTAACTTTTAAATAAATCTATATTTCGTGTAAGTCAATACAAAACTCAATATAAGCAGTTAAAAATATAACAATAATATGGGAAAATGTAGGTATATGATAAAACAGTCACTAAATATTTTAATATTAAATAGTAATCGAATAATTAGGATCAAGCTTACACGATTTGTATTTGACTTGTGTTACATGCAATATATAAACATATATTTCACCGTTATAAAAAAAACAGAAGAACGCAGGATTGCCTATTGCAATATAACTAGTGCAATAAAAAGGCATTTTTTTTCATTTTCTATGAATCTCTAAGTAGATAACTGAAATTAAAACTAAACTTACGCAACTTTAGTGGGGAAAATTTCACATATAACGCAGAAAAGTACCGCTTCGGTACAGCTCACGATGGCCTCGAACACGCACGAGAGGAGTAAGTTCTCGAGCGAGGACCGAACGAGGTTCAGTCCCAGCGCCGCGAGCCCGGAACTTATTAACATTATCACTGAAAACATAAATAAGAACATATATACATATCTTATTATTAGAGGAGTAAAATCTACATACATCCACGTAGGTCAAAAATCGGATAATCACTATCTAAATAAAGGTGGGTTTTTTTTCCCAAAAAGCAAGCAAAACATATTGGGAGTTATTACTATAACCTAAACCCTTTACAGGTGATGAACCAATGCGAAAAAGTTTCACTTTTACATATTTTTTATTGTTTTGTGAAGCAAACATATTTAAAACATTTACAGAAAACACACAAAATGCAGCACATACACCATAAAGTTTCCACTAATATACCATATCATCTTAATGAGCAGTGAGAAAGAAAGAAATAAACAGCAAAAAACAACATTAAAAAAAGAAAAAAATTACAGACTATTGACCGAAATGAATTTATCATTACAAGTTTTATAAAGTTATCCTTACTAATGATTTTGAGAGACATTAGACAATAAAAGTATTTTTTCTCAGAATTCTTACCAAGCATAAGCTTCTTGCCCACCATGTTGATGGTGAGCCCGACCCACAGCGCGGTGGGCACGCAGCTCAGCGCCACCACCAGCGTGTGGATGTACACCTTATCATCTATCACTTGCGGACATTCTTGTTTGCCCTGGAAATATATCAAAAGTGTTAATTATATTTTGTATAGAAGTTATTGATTTTACTTTTAACCAAATATACCAAAATACTGCGTTAAAATTAAAATCATTAGAATCTTGGTTTATTAGGTAAAACTCTTAAAGTGCAAGTCTAATTATAAATGCAAAAATAAAATTTTCGATGACATTATTACAATAAATGGAGAGAAAAGTAATAATAATACGTAGGTTAATCTCTTAAACTTCATTATTATAAAACGGAAAATTTTAAAAAATGTCATCTCACCAGAAGTTCACTTCTGGTGACGTTGGCGGATACTTCGCACACGCCGGCCGACACGCCCGGGAACAGCGACGAGAACTGACTGAACCTCTCGAACAGGTCCGGGAACCACATCATCAGTGTGTAGTAACTGAAACATTATAACGAATGTTTATATATTAAAGTGTGATTGTATGTATATCTTAGCCGAAATGACTGATTTTATCTATATAATATGTTATATATAGAGTATATGAAGTTAACTAGATCTAGATCGATAATTATAAAGCGTCTTTTTGTACGTGTTAGCAAAGATAGCAAAATTTTAAAAGTTGAATAAATTTTAAAACTTTGCTTAATTTCATTCGAATCAATAGTGTAGCGTATATATTTAAAAATACAGATAAAAAGAGAAGAGACGATTTACGACTTTGGGAAATCTATAAATTATAAATGTGAAAGTATGTTGTTTGTTTGTCCTTCTTTCACATCGAAACGGAGTGACGGCTTGGCGTGATTTTTTGTGTGAAGATAGTTAGAGGGCTGGAGAGTGACATAGGCTACTTTTTGCCACGAGATATTTTAAATCCCACGGGAAAACACGTAATACAACCCAAAAAAATACTTATGATCAGAATTACTTGAAACTTGGTATAGATGCTCTTCAATACAATTAAATAAATACGTATTTTAACATTTTTCGAAATTGGGGTGAATTTAATAAGGGGGTTAAATAAGGGATGAAAGTTGTATGAAACCTACCTTTGTAGTTTTTTATAGTTTTAGCGCGAGCGAAGCCGCGGTTTCTGCTAGTATTGTAGAAATAAAAATATACCGGCTTTCAAAGTAGCTGGTTGCAACAAGTGTGCAATATGAACCCAAGAAAACCCACCTGAACATCAGTCCAAAATCAACAAAACAGCACAGCACTAGCAGGCCTATGTACGGCGGAGTGACTAGCATCTTCTTTCTAACCCAGAAGGCTTCCCAACGCTGGTTCCATGTAAGTGGGGTCTTGGTTTCATTGCCGTTGGTGTCTGCTGACACCACCTCCTCCTCTCCGTCGCCTGCACTTATCATTGATTCTACCTGAATGAAATATGTTTATTAATAAATTAATTAACCATTAACTGTTTATGTTTTTTATTTAAGGCGTAAAGAACGTGTTTTTGTTTTGGTAAAAACAGTCATACACTTTTATTTTCAAGTTACGAGTATAACACATGTTTATTATATACTAGCGGCTCACCCTCGCTTCGCTCGGGTTCACCTCTAGAAAAGCACAAACAGATCTATCCCACGGGAACCGGTCATTTTTCCGAGATAAAAATAATATAAGTAACCTGTTGTTTGACCTGCAATATAAGGTATCAGCATGCCAAATTTTACTAAATTAGGTGCATAAGTTGTTGTGTACTGAGCTGTATAAGTTACTATAATTTTTTAACTATCCCACGGGAACTCTTTAATTTTCCGGAATGAAAAGTATCAAATTTCATTTAAATAGGTTTAATAGTATCGGAGATTAGCCCGTACGAACAGGCAAACAGACAGAGAAACAAAAAATTTGAAAAAATCTGGATTTGTTCTATTTCTCTCCTAACGGGATGTAAGAAGAGAACTGACTGGTTTTTTAGCAATTTTTTCTACCATCTATGTACAGACATTCTACCTCTACAGTTTTATTATTCATATATGTACCTATATTCAGATAGAATAAATAACGTATAATAAAACAGAAATATATAATAATGAAAATAGTTATAGCGAGTGTACCTTAGGAGATAGACATATACTATGTAGAACTTTTCTATAGGCTTTTTTAAGACTTACAATTTTCTTGTACAATGTTTTGATCTATCGCTTAAGGTTGAGCCAACGTTAGCCATATAAATTTCTAAGGACAATTCGATAGAACCAGTTATTGTATTTTCCCGTGGGAATGAATAATTTCGTTCGAAGTCGTAAAAAGTATTCTAAATGTTGAACCGAGCACTAAGTTTTATCACTATACAAAATTAAGTTAAAATCGGTTGAGTACTTTTTGCGTGAAACGCGCACATCGATTTGACTAAGTTTTATTATAGGTATAGATAAGAATAAATATTGCGAGTGTAACTTAGAAGATAGACATATACTATTCACAACTTTTCTGTAGGACTTTTCAAGACCTACAATTTTTTGGTATATTGTTTTGATGTATGTCTTAAGGCTTAGCCAGAGGAAGGTTTCTAGGGAGGACTCGATAAAACCAGATATTGTATTTTCCCGTGGGAAAGAAAGATTTTCTTTAAGTAAAAGGTATCTAGGCATCCCAGTGGTAACGCGCTCGCTTGGGAAACCGAGTGAAGCAAGTTCAAATCCCGGGTCTCGTACCTCTGATATTTTCATGCGCGAATCATTTCTAACACAGTTACCACTTGTCTTAACGGTGAAGTAAAACATCGTGAGGAAACCTGCATGCCTGAGAGAACCCAGCAAGTTTTCAAAAGACATGTGAAGTCCGCCAACCTGCACTTGGACAGCGTGGTGGACTATGGTCTGATCCCCCTCGTACTGAAGGGAGGCCCGTGCCCAGCAGTGGGACGTTAAAAAGGGCTGAATACATACATAAATACATACAAAAGGTATCCTAAATGTTGACTCGAGTAATAAGTTATCACCAAATTTCGTTGAAATCGGTACATTACTTTGCGTGAAACGCTCACGCAAAAACAGACGAACAGACATACAGGCAAACAGACAAACAGACAACTTTTTTAATAACTATTGTTTTGGGGTTTATGTTGTGTACATAATACGTTACAAATAAACAAAAACATCTATCCCACGGGAACAGTACATTTTTCCGGGATAAAAAGTAACCTATTTCTTATTCTGATGTATGAACTATATATATTATTGTAAAGTTTCATCAAAATCCAATCAGTAGTTTTTGTGTACTAAGCTGTATAAGTTACTATAGTTTTTTGGTTATCCCACGGAAACTCTTTAATTTTCCGGGATGAAAAGTAGCTGATTTGTTTTAGTCATGTATGAACTATATTATTGTAAAGTTTCATTAAAATCCAATCAGTAGTTTTTGTGTACTAAGCTGTATAAGTTGTTATAGTTTTTTAACTATCCCACGTGAACTCTTTTATTTTCCGGGATGAAAAGTATCTAAGATATTGCACGGGGATATAAGGTACCACCATGCAAAATTTTATTTAAATCGGTCCAATAGATTCGGAGTTTAGCCCGTACAAACAGGAAAACAGATAAACAGCTCGCTCGGGTTCGTCCATACCTACGAATATGTTGTATTATCTCTTTAACCATTTGTCCAAATTATATGCAGTAAAAGGGAAAAGTCTTTTGTTTTAAACATTTTAGACGATAAATTTACTTATTTTGATAAGAATTCATAATTGTTGATAATATGACCAATAAACATGACCTACCGATTTAAATTATTTTTTTAATATAAAAAACTACTTTTTGTGACTTAAAAATAAAAGTTAGACATATGCTGTCGCTGACTTTTTTGTAGGCATTATTAAGCTCTACAACTTTTCTCTAGAACATAATCATATATCTCTCACAGTTTAGGCAGCGTTCGTAAAAAACGTTTTCGTTCGACCGTTTTTTCTCCGACTTACTTTACAAATCCGACTACCACGAAATAGCCTTTTCATTTTTCGGGTTAATATATAGCCTATGACACTCAGAACGAACGTGGCTTTCTATTAGTAAAAGAATTTTGAAAGTCGGTTCAGTAGATCCAGAGATTACCCCCTACAACGTCACAAACTCACAAACTCACAAACCCACAAACTCACAAACTCACAAGATCACAAACTTTACCTCTTTATAATATTAGTATAGATGAAAAAATAACTTACGAAAATATGTAATTAGACACATAACTAGCAGCTCGTTATTTTGTAAACATAAGTTCGTGAGATATACTTATATTTCCAGGAACATACATGCATATATTTCTAATTAACTTACTGGAAAATCTTTTTCCTCCAGGCGAGTATTCACAACAAATATCCTCTGTAACACTGTCAACGCCTGATCCGCTTTGTTAGCGTAGAGCAAGTAGCGGGGGCTTTCCGGGAATGGTAACAGAAGCAGGACCACGAATAAACTGGGAATGCCACAAGCTGCCACGAAAACCCTCCACGATGTGTACTGAAAGTCCGCACCATCTGCTGTTAGGTTGAAGCGAGGATCTTGGATGATCAACCAGGCGATACCTGAAAGAAATTCAAAAATGTTGTATTTAATTTGAACATTATTTCAGTTTGAATTATAGAAATTAATTGACTTTTGATATTTTTTTAAATAAATTGCAATGAAACTCTACTTCATTTTAGTAACTGTAATTTTCAAATATTTTTCAAAAAGTTAAGTTATTTTACTATATACCAGTAAGAGATAAACATGTAAACATTTTTGGTCATCGTCCGTATTAGCGAAGTTTGGAATTTTATATTCCATTAATCAGTTGTGCAGTTTCTTAGTATTAGTTTCTTTTCATCAGACTTTCTATGTTCTTTTGCATCTACGATTTTTTTCTAATTATTTATACCTGGTAACAAAATGGTCCCAAAAGTCCAAAACACCTCCAGCCTGCACAGCATCACATCTCGATGCCTGAACGAGAGAAAATCTCCAAAATATGGAAAGATGAGACCAGTCGCTCCAATAATTCCGAAGCCCGAGAAGAATCTGTAAGTAACAAGGGTATAATTAAAACCAATGATTGCGTCACCATCAGAGATGAATGTATCGTAAATAAATTCATTTATTCATATTCATGACATTTTGAGTACACAAGAAGTAAATGTTTATACGTGTGCTTAATATTTTTCATTAAATGCAACATATTTACATTACTTCTTATCTTTTCTTATAGTATAAATAAATATATATATATATAAATGTTACGTTAGCAAGGTCCGCTTAAAAAGGCGATGTTATTGAGCACAGAGATAGTCAATGTTAATAACACGAACGAACGTATACTTAGAACTTATTTCTAGAAACTATTAGCATGCAAAAAGGTATGATATCTGTGCAGTTTCTACGAATGGAAGCTATAATAAAATCTTGGTATATAGAGACTGCCACAAAGTTTAATGTTTAATTCATAAAAATCTTCCTTATTTACTATCAATATACCTGCAAGCCAGAAAAGCAGGGAAAGATTGCACCAGACTGGATAAAAATGCGGCGAGTGCGTCTAGCAGCAACGCACCGATGATCGCCTTCCTGCGTCCTCGCGCATCCGCTAAATTACCCCAAAAGTATGAGCCCACGCACATACCTGGAAGAGTTAGAAATAGAAGAATAGAATAAAATAATACCGATACAATATCATGCAGCAAAAATGTACTTTAACAGAACTAATGAAATAATTAAGTAATGTCTAAACTAAACTATTGAGCCGTTATTGAAACCTGGAGGAATTTTATTTCTCAGGATCAACACTGATTTTGGTAAACGCCTTACAACTCGGGCTTGCCCCAAAACAGGTTTTTAAATAATATCTTAAACGGTACTCGCATTTATATAATAAAACTTCTTTAAATGTAATTTTTACTTGAAGTTTCCATTTGTAAAACTTAATTAAGTTCCTTCTCCCTTGATGTTGATGAAAAAAAATCTTACCTGGTGTTCTCCTACCCGATTCCGGCCGCGGCGGCCAATCTCATTGAGACTAGCCAACTGCGCAGGAGCTATTATAGTGCACAAGTGTACGCGCAGACACAGGTGCACTCTCTATTCCTGTCACTCTCATACTCCGGTGGGACGACTGCTCGACACGACCAGTGAGAGTTAAGGCGCAGGACCGACAGCTTTACGTGCTCTCCGAGGCACGGGGGTGAAACACCGCCAACTTCCCAACTCCGGGCTGTTACTGAGACTTACTATACAGAAAGACTCAATAATAACTAAACTTGGCCCAACCCGGGACTCGGACCCAGGACCACCGAGTGTGCAGCCGTACATGCTAGCCACTACACCACCGAGGCAGTTCAAATCTTACCTATAAGAGGTGTAGCAGTAAGCCTCCCTTTGTCGCTAGAGGACAAGTTAAAATCACATTCGGCGGCCGGCAGCACGAAACTAAGTGTAGTAGTGCTGAGTGCGCACACTGCGTACACCGCCCCGCACGACATGAGGAGAAGCCACTGGAAACATCCATAGCCTGGAAAGATAAAATAACAAGTTTATTTTGTATATTCTGCTTAATTACAGCCTAAAGCTTTCTAAATAAGATAGTATAATTTGAGGGACTCAGAATATCGGGCCTACTGATTGATAGAAATGAGCCTCAAAGTTTTTCACCTAAGTCCAAGGAACATCAAGGCTATTAGATAGCGTACATCTAGCCATAACCTATACGTTGACCCAGATAACAGATATTATCATACCAAATTTCATCAAAATCTGTTCTGTGATTTTCTCGTGATGCCTTCCCAGACAGACAGATAAAAATTCTAAAACTAGAGGTTCGGCCTCTGTGTCGATAATAATGACTATTTCAATAGATTTTCCCAAAAATATTTAATGTACAGATTAGACTCAGTTTGAATTTTATTATAATATGTATAGATAACGTAGACACATTACAATCGAATACGCATTATTATACAAGTGACCTTACACAAGTTTTCAGTGATGGTATTTAAGTTTTATTTGTAAAAGAAATCAGTGAACATTGAAAGAGCATACAGGTCCATTGATTCGTTAGCTAAAGTGCTCTCAATAGTGTTTCAATGACCGTCTATAAATAGACATATTAGAGCTGAAGGAAGTGACGTCTGTCGTGTCATATACCTATACTTCTTTAGGTAGTATTTCAAATAACTTAATATTAAAGGTTAATAGAATTTATGAATCTTTTCTAAAATTGTATTATTTATATTTCTCTACATTGTTTTGTCTGTATCAACTATCAATATTATTTTGTCAATCTGTAAAGATTAAATGGTTTTTTTCACATAGTCACCCAATATGTAAAAATTGTGTCAGCCAATGGCAGAGTATGCAACGTAAAAACTAATTTTGACGTTTTTTCGATTCATATCTTATTGTGGAATGTATACAAACAAAATGTACTGAAGTACACATACGAAGAGAACATTATTTTAAACAAGTAATGAGATATATTGTAACGAATACATCTCCAAGTCTTCAAAATTTTGTATTATAATTTTGTATATAAATTTGTATATAATTTTGTATTATAATATTTGTATATTTGTGTATGGGCTAATTTGAGATTTATTACCATAGAAGAACCAAGCAAAGCCGGGGGAGGATCCTAATTCAAATATAAGGTATTATATAACCGCATGCTACATGTCACCTTAATAAGAAAATTAAATTTAACATACACGTATTCGTGTATAATTTTAACAAGTTAATAGTTGAATGAGTTAACATGTACGTTAATTAGAATAATTTCTAGACGAGTGCGCGACTTGTCCGAACGATTTAACTTCATGGAGGTCACCCCCTTAGTAATATAGTAATATGAATACATAATTCACACATTATCGCTAAGTACTCGTAGATCCCCCATGTACGAGTATAAGCTGCAAACTTACAAAGTCAAAATAAACCACGTCACTATTTAATATGTGGATAGTATTCGGTTCAATTCTTTGGAAAACAAATGTACACTTAATAATAACTACCTATATAATTCATGTCTACATGGAATGCTAGTTGCCGAGTGGCAATGCCGAATGACGAATCCTTGGGAAAAACATGCCAATTGTTAAGGCGGCCATAGAAGTGATAACACGGGTATATAACACCTCGTGTTATCACCTCTATGGGACCTTATGAGGAAATTTTTGTTAATACGTTTGAGAATTTTTTTGTTATTAAAATTATAGATTATAGCACCACTGACGGTAAAGAAATTTGTGTTTCTCTCATATATATCTGGAAAGCTTGGGAAATGTTATCTCCACCAATAATAGAGCCATTTTTGATTGTCCGACTACAAAAAGGTTGTCTGTATTTTGTGTGCATGCTACGTATACATATATTTGACAATTACGAATCGATTTTTATATCTTACTTCAATATGAATTTAAATAAAAATTTACTTCTACAAAATTGGAAAACCCAAATGAGTACATAGTCATAATATAAACGTGTCTTTGCTTAGGGGTTAACCAATAGCCAAAGGTTAAATCAATGTTTGTTCGCGACGGCCGTGAGGCGCCGCCAATTAATTGGATGAACTAAATCGCGTTAGCCGCAACCCCTAAACCAGAGTTTACTTGGATAATGTTACTAATATATACTTGCTGTTTTTTCTATGTTTTATAATCTACTATCCACTCTACGATGTCTGGCTGGCTTGCATGCTACGTCGGAGATAGCGAGTTCTTGACCTATACGTAAATGTTAAAAATGTTAAAATGATTTTTAGAATATTGATCGAAAATTTTTTTACAGTCAATAATAATCTCCTAAAGTTGTAAGGGATTTTCGTTGTAAGACGGTTTGAAAAAACGTGTTTGGTTTCAGAATCTATTTATACATAATAAATTATAATAAAATTCTACGTCGAATCTGTACATTAAATTATATTTTTTGGAAAATTTTATTGAAACAGTCATTATTATCGATACAGAGGCCCAATCTATAGTTTTTCGAATTTTTGTCTGTCTGTCTGTTTTCCCAGACAGACGCATCACGAGAAAACCACTATTTCGATTTGGTACGAAAATATCTCATCTCTTAGAAATCTATACTAAAACTCAAACTCTAAAACTACTGAATCAAATCTAAGCATTGTAAGAGCTACACTGTATGTATATTAATACTACTTGGGTATTAGATTGTTATTATAATCATTGTTCTACGCCAGCGGTATAATTTACGTTTTTAACTTTTTTTATTTCTTTTATATTAAAAAGCCGATTAAACCCAATAAAATAAATAAAGCTTACACTGAAATAACAATTAATATAACTAATTCAACGCTGCTATATTAATAATGATTATACATAATTCAAAGAACAATAATTTTTTGCATGCGCACATGAACTATGCATTGTTTTTCTAAGAAGCTATATTTAACGCGTGTGCTCTCCGTCAGCTGTTGCTGTATTTACAAACATATTCTTGCTTCGTTTTTATTACACTTGATACCTACTACATGCGATAAGAGATATAAAAATGTCATCATACGTATAATAAAATTGTAACTAAGCCGAATCTGTACAATTACATTAAATATTTTTTGGAAAACCTTATTGAAATAAACTTTATTATCGATACAGAGACCGAATTATATTTTCTAACAACAAAAACAAATATCACAGACCAGTCCGCGCTTCGCTCAGGCAGGCAACTTCACCCTCGTCTGAAATCGTCTTGTTCCATCCCTAGTCACACAATATACTGTTGTTTATTTATTTTAGCGCGAGTAATGAGTCTATCGAACTGCCCGTCGAAAATAGAAAATTTCGTAGGGGGATCAAGTAAGTCACTTAGAGAAGAAAATCAAATGTATGTATTGTTGGCACAAAAATAAAATATATTATAAATTAAGAAGCCATCATCGCTTCGCCTAGTTTTTACTGAATTCCAATTTAGTATATTATATAAAATCATGATATTAAAAAGTATTTTATTTTATGTAAAAATATAAAATAAAGCACTCTCTATTTCTTTGGACAATTTAACACGACCGGTCATAGATCTGGTGTAGGACCGGTGGCTTAAAGAGCTATATAATTAATATATGGGCGTATCAGAATTTCGCTCAAAGACCACGTTTACGTCTTGAATCCCAGCCAAATTTGACCACAGTCGTCAGAAGCGACCTAGCGGCACACACGGACGGACAAGGCTACGTAATTATATTCAGATTTACGGTGACAACCTATGCGATATTTGTTTTGGTTGACCTAGTTAAAATATCTTAAAACATTCTCAGCATTAATACGTACTAATATTATAAATTCGAAACGATGTTTATTGATTTGTCCGTAACGATCGAATAAATAGAAAAAATAGTTCAACATTAAGTTATATATTGCAAGAAACCACTGGGGGTTGTAGCCGTATATTTAGGGCCTAACTGAAGTCAGAGTTTCATATTTAGTTTGACTGCCTATAGCCTAGTCACTAGTGGCAAACATGTACCGCTAGGTATATAAGCTGCAGTACCTTCTGGTACTGGGTTAAAGTCCTGCACGGATCAGAAGTAAACTGAAATCGGCTAAGAGGATATTATTATTATAAGTATATTTATATATACTAGTATTCGTCCAGTGGTCGAAATTCAACCATAATCATTTTTTTTTATTGATAACACTAAAGTATGGAAGCAAAAAAAGAAAATCGGTTGACCAACAAAGGAGAAAAAGATGATTTTTCTTTGTTAGAATGTACAAATCGTAGGAAATAAATTTAAAGTCCCCCATTCTCTGAAAATAATTAAAGCATTATAACGATGAAGGTCTACCATGATTATAATGATGAGGTACATTAATTCAATTTTTTAAATTTAGTGATAAGTAGGTACTACTTTTCCTTCTTTTATGTTGGGAAAAGCATTTACGCATACCACCTGTAGACATACAGGTTGTTATGTGGGACTCACCGGCTAAAAAAGCCAGTACTACCCACTAGAATCCAAGAAAACCTTCACCGTCATAATGGGGCGTCGCGCGATCGATGACGCACTTAACCACGACGCCCCGAGAGCAGGTCTGTCGAAACAAACCACAATAACCATGGGGTTGCTCCCACGGTCCACTCTGCCGTCAGTGAAGTACCAGGAGCAACCCGCATGGTACACCATCTACTGAAGTGGGGCTCTTCCCAGTACGTTTCTTGGCTTTGCGCCTGCCTGAACTGCCGGATGCTAATAAGCCATCTACCACTACAAGGTGAACGCACGTTGTGGAGCTACTTTTCCTTCCATTATGTCTTGAAATAAAAATGGAAAGACGCAATTCGATGCCAACAATTTTGTCTTTAAAATACAATAACCGGACCGCAGCTGGCACTTTGAAACGAACGCTTTGATCGGTTTTAACAGTTATGCTTGTTTAAATCTTGCAACAAAAACATTACATGTCAAAAATAAAATTGCTTTCATAAGATAATAGCAGAATACATAACATCATAAAAATGATCTGACAGTAAGTTTACTACGATCTAGAGATATTA